CTAGAAAGGCAGAGGGTGAATTTCCCGAGGTACCCACAAGTCTGCAGCGCCCAGCTGGCCGGCCTCTTCGAACGCTTCAGAAGGGGCAATATGTCTTCGGATGTAGTCCTAATGTCGGTATTAGAACAGCCCCGCACCCAGCGCTTTTTGCGATACTTCTCGGCTGCCATACACCCGCAAATGGCAATCGTTTTGTTGGCTGGATAGGGGAGATAATGAAGGGCAAAGGCCTCCTCTTAGTGTATGATCGAATGAGGACTTGTGAGGGGTGATACTGTTTGAGGGGAGCTACATGGGAGGCATAGCAGGGGATATACTACTGGCATAGGTATCCTTGGCCTGTTGGCAGAGAGGACCTGCATGTCCTACATAGTCATAGACTCAAATAAGAGAATAAAATGAAATAATATTCTCAACACCTGTCAGTGGTTTCCCCTACGAACCTCTAGCTTTCACTGTAGAGTGCTGAGTGCAGAGCCGAGATTGAGTAACAAAGTCCTCACTTCAATGAGGATTTCCAATTGCCTCTGCGGTCAGTATTTTCACGGCTTGTCGAAAAGTGACATGCGATAGAAGTTAGACTAGTCTTTAAGTATATAGCAGTAAAGCTTAGAACATATCATTCAACTTAATTATGACGAAGTTGTGCGACCCATGAGAGTAATGTGGAAGAAAACTAATATATACAATGTTTACGTGCCCGGAGTCCTTGCGTAGTTTTTGTTTTGTTTTGTTCATTAACGTGCTAGGTTACAAGACTACCGTTGCACTCCCATTGAAGCTTAAGCACGAGTGGGGTTGGGCCGGATCAGGTTGACTACGTTGAAGTACAGATAAACCTCGTCCCACTTTAATGACCGGACCACCTCAGACTTCACCCATGTGTTGAATCATACTAAGCCCAACCGTCCAGAAACCCGCTGTATACACGCCGTAGCGCGATTTCCTCCTCAGGCTCGGCCACCACGCGCCCGAGCCCTTGACATCCTCATTGACTCCGAAATATAAATGTCGTCCAAGAACTCATCGTTGCTCTATTTTTTTTTTGCATCAGATTTTAATTGCGTATGCAGCTATCTAGCTATGACACAATTTCAAAGAAAAGTACAGATTAGATGATTCAACGTAAAGGAAGAGCACTCATACCTCGGATTTCATTTGCAAGTACCACTGCGAAGTTATGGCGGCTTTTTCTTCACCCCAAGTCAACCCTCATCCGTGAATACCCACCCAGGGGAACGTCTCATGAACCCTGAGTTATCCAGACATGCCTCCGTCATCTTTCAACTTTTCTCCGCGCGAAATATGGTCTTAGGCATCTCCTTCCCAAGTGGAGTAGGTGCCTAGACTACTCAAACTAAACAGGTGAACACCAACAGGTGGCGGACCACAACACCTTCCATCGTTTGCTTGTTTTTATAATGTGAGCTGCACTCTCGCAAGCGAAGTCTTGGCGCGCACAAAGCCCAATTCGTAAAACTCCTTGCCCAAATTCGAAATTAAACGCCCGTGGAGATTGTATCCTTCCTTTGCTTCATCTTGTAAACTTGTCCTGATCCCTCTCACGTCCATCCCAAAGAGCTATCTCCCAGATTTTTGCTCCACGCTTTGCTTCCTCCGTCGGGTATAAATATCGGCGTGGGCGTGTATCTGGCAACCAGCTAAGGCCAGAGAAAGTCGGCAAGAGGTGTGGTCATTGAAACGAGGATGTACTAGGTCGTACTTGTAGACTTGATAAGGCTTAGGTGAGAATCGGACTCGTTGGGAGTGAAAGATTGACATGGTGGAGTAGTTTGAAATTTTGCCTCGTGGGCCAGCTTCTTTGATGTCGCGAAATTTGACTGAACTTGGCTCTGGGAGAATATTTCATTCCCAGGTTCGTAGAGGATACCGCGTATAGGTGTTCATTCTTGCCCCCCTCATCGTTGCTCTAGCCTTGCACCTTCATATCGTACCGTTGGGTTGTTTTTCGTCATTGGGAGTCCTTGCGTAGTGCCACGGCCCTTAGTAACGGGACGGATACCTATTGCCGACGAGAACCTGAGGCACCATCGTGTATGAGTGATGGTGAAGCCGTCACTGTATCATCTTCATCTCTCAACACATTCCCCCATCACCATTATCATGAAGCTAACCAAGATTAGATCAGATGGTAGGGTCGAGGCCCTTCTCTTCACAAACCCTTGATCACAGAGGAGAAGCCATCTGATTAGCTTCCAAGGCGTACCCTGCATCTGATACGGCAATGATAGATTGTATCAAGTTGGTCTCGAATGTTGGAAAGAAGGGAGATATAGATGAACATGCGCACCTCATGTGGTCCCGGTTTCTAGGCTTCACCTGGCTGGGGCTGGTGGTTTTTGGAGGCTTTCTCCCTCGAACATAGGTTCCATTGCTACCTTTTTTTTTTTTTTTTTTTGGGTAGAAGGTTCCGTGGAAAATGTGGTCGAATTACACGGGTCGATACTGTGGTGATTAGATTAGATTTTTTTATTATAGTCCCTACTGAGTCTAAGACTATGGGGGAATATACTGAGGTGAATTGCTATTCATCAAGGGCAATGTATCAACGATCTTTTAAGTCTCAAAAGGAGTTGGGAGCACTGCACAAGGTGTGGCCAGGGTCAGAGAGGAGCCCAATGTGTTAGATAGTCCAAGACTCAGGTGATGCAATAAACACATTAATAAATCTAATCTAATTATGAAGTAAAATAAATAAAATACACTATCTCGGCACATACTTGCCGTAACAGCACTCCTGATGGAGCTTCAGCATGAGTGGGGTTGGGCCAGATTAGACTAATTACAATAAAACTGCAAACATGTCTCGTATAATCTAAATAACTAGTACTACTCTGAATAGATGTGTAGGGGTATCATATAGATTCCAGAAGACTGGCAAAAACAAAGTTAAACTTCCCCGCGATCCTCTACTTTGTAACATGAAAATACACGTTACCTTCCAACCTTCTACTTCAGTCGCCACTCCCACGTGCCCTGGTCTAGTCAAATTAATGAAATTCTCGCCTCGGGTGGCCATCGAGTGATATTCCGACTAGACACAACACCGGAATTGCTTCTAGCCGCCCGTTCTGGCCAAAGTTCCCAGCACTCTACCAAATTTCCAGGGTACTTCCAGACTAGACTAGATGAACCCCTGAGATTTCTTTGTCACATCGGCCGTGAAAAGATATTGTCGTATGGTTCAAGCGGCGGTGGTGGTGATACGCCATGAGGGCATCATGTCCAGTTCGATTTGTGATCAAGCGCTCACAAGCCACTTTAGGGAATTGCTAGTGGTTTCGTGATAATATAGACTAATCAGTGTAGAACTTACTTGCGGAGTCTATTCAGTGTTTATTGAGTTAAATCGTGGGAAATCTCTTCTTCTCCATGAGCCTCTCGCCACGCAGCTACGACATAGATTAGGATGTGCTGTGTTCAACGCTTAACGTATTTTTTATCATTTAACGTGTATTCAGCTGTAGAGCTACGACTCATGATCTGTGTAATGAATACACGTAGGATGACTCCTCTGGCCTCAGAGATACTCTGAACGTGTTGTGCCGAGATGTACATGCCTAACGCTATTGCTTCCTCAATTGATTCTCAACAAATCATCGAGGTTATCTGTGCACTACAACGCATATTACCCAATCATTCCCCATCGCCAACTTAAAACTGCAAGTATGTCCTTAAATGTCACATCAATTTTATCAACAAAGTTTTCTAGCTAGCATGAACTCGTAAGGTACTTTTACCTGGTTGGTTCAATGTGAGTTTTGCTGCCTTGGACACACGAGTTTCTGTCCCGTATTGTTATTGTTATCAATCTGTTTAGGTCATTTTTGAGTCAACAGCTTTGAAGGAAAATTCTGACCCGTAGGGCGTAGGACGTACGTATCTACGACGGACTGTATTATAATTATTGTCCTTTCTCGATCTAAAACTGTATAGTACTACGAACTGTAACTGAAAGATGGAGAATATAATACAAAGCGCAAGCCATACACTCGCCAGCTTTTTTTGCAAAAAAATCACACTCATTAATGCTTCTGGTTTATTCTCCTTGTTCCAAAGCGTTATTTGATGTGCAGAACCTGCCAGCCAGCCATCAAAGCCTTTAACACTAAAACGGTCGTCTAACATCCTTCAAAGACTTGTCTTTGTTGCTCTCGACGTCGGGTATTTGCAGTTGTATCATCAAAAATGAGGGTAGAAAATAGTTTGCCGAAAGTATTAGTATGCCTCATGCGCAGTCCGAAACTTGCTCGAGGGACCCTAAGATGCATAGAAGACATCATTGATAGATTCTGGATTAGATCTTCCCTATTTGGCTCCATTTTTTAAACTCACACTCACTTATTGCGCTTTTTTCTGCTGGGACAGGGAGCCATCATATTGGCCCCTAGAGTAACTCAAAATGCCTCGGTAGTCTACGGTTATCTGGGAGACGAGTTGTCCTAAAAAGGGTTCATTCATGTAAGCAGCCATAGCCGATCCAGGCCAGTTGAGCGGCCCGTTTTCCTTCACATGCTTAATATTTTGGCGGGTTACGCTTCGTCTATCTGACAGCGTTGTCAGGGGGCATTTAGCCACCATCTTCTAGCCACATAGAGACATTCGATCATTCGGGCCGCTACACCCGCTAGCTTGGGGGTTCGGTATGTAGTCATGTGATTAAAACAACCTGTCGGGATAAATTTTGCCCCGCAAATAACCATAGCCCAGCCTCTGTACTGAACCCAAAACTCATATCTACCAGACTCTCTTACATCATCATCATCTACAAATTCACACTTCCTGCGCAACCATTAATTCTGGAAATCTGCCCCTATTAATCTCTGACAAGGTAACTCAATTCTCTGTCATTCATCACCTGAAATCGTAAGCCAGGGTCATCATCTCATGACCTGATATTCGATTCAACGCCAGTCTCTGCTCTTCCAGATACACTCTAGCACTTAGTCGCGGACATATAAATTCATATCGCTGAAAAGATGTTAACCAGTCGGTTGAACTCTTCAAGGGGATCCCGAAGCTCTACGACACACACAAGAGGAACCAAACGAGGTGGTATCAAGAAACGGAAAAATTGCCCAACTAGGGTCGATCGAGATGGTGACATGATGATGGATGCCGCTGGCTTAGCTGGTAGTGAAGTCAACGCCAACAAAAGCAGTTGTGTCCCAAACAAGAGATCTTCCGGTGGGCCATCATCAAACAGACCAGGAGCTTCTGGGCGGGCCAAAGGTGGATCGAATCGTGCGCCAAAACCTGGTATTCATCGAGCCCAACAGGCTATATTACGTGGCATCGGGGCACAACAGGCCAACATTCTACAAACACTCGAAGTAACTGGTCTCAGCTTGAGCAAGGCCTCAAATAATGCTGATGGTGGACTGGAAAGTTTGCTAGGCTTCCTCGAGCGAAAGGCTAGCTGTATAGACTCAAAGGGCAACAGACCTGTCAAGATAAAAAAGGTATGTTTATGAGCACAATGTCGGATATACAGTCCTGGAATTTTCTACTTGTTATTGAAAGCTGCTTACAGTAGCAAGTGCGATAATGTACCAATTAAAGCCCATCTATACTAATATTGGAATAGTCATCCCTGAAGGGAGATACAGTCCTTGTTACTGCTAGTCTCGACGACACAATGCGGATCCAAAAATTAGACAAATATCACTTTGCTGGAATACCACTTTCAATAAAACCTTGCGAACAGTCAACCATTCTCCAAGGACAGTCAAAGGAAGAAATTTCAGCAGAGGCGCGGAATTTAAAAGATGAATTAAGGGCCTTTCTTGCAACAAGGTACAATGTTGAACTAAAGCTTCTCGACTTATCGATGCTAGGGACAGATCCTAGGCTGCAAGGTATGGGAATATTCAAAGAAGGTGTCAAAACTGCGGGAAAACTTTTCCCTGCCATCATGGCAATATGCGACGGACTCTTTAAAACGCGGAAAGAGAAGCAAGATGCTATAACAAGCATCGCTCTTACCGACAACTCACTCTCTACCATAACACACATATCATCTTTGTCGCAAACCTTTCCAGACATCAAGAACCTAGATCTTTCTCGAAATGAAATATCCGACCTGGAAGGATTAGATGCTTGGCGCTCTAAGTTCCGCAGCTTAGAGGTTCTTCTCTTAAAAGAAAACCCCATTGAATCCAGGATCTCTGAATTTGTAAGCGAGCTATTGAAACGCTACCCTAGACTTCACTCTATCAACGATGTTCAAGTTCGAACACCAGAGGAAATAGTCAAGATAATCAGTGCGGCTGAACAGGCCAAAGTTCCGATTCCTATTACAGGCCCATCATTCCGTGACGTCGGGCAGATAGGAGAAACGTTCATAAGACATTTCATACCGCTTTACGATCATGATCGAAGTTCTCTCGCAAGTAGCGCTTATGATGTTGACTCAACCTTTTCTCTATCAATCAATATGTTGTCGCCCCGAACCACAGAGATTATGGTACCGGTACACAGTTGGTCTGACTACATCAAGTATTCTCGAAACCTCGACAAGATTACCCATTTACCGGCTCGGATGAACCGACAGTTTAAAGGCAGCCAAAGTATCAAGGAGGTCTGGGCTAGCCTACCGGAAACAAGACATCCAGACATTGAGACAGAGAACGAAAAATATTTTTTTGAAGGTCATGAACTACCCTGCGTACCCGATCCAACTGGTCAAAGTTCAACCGGAGTCACAGGCATGATTATACACATGCACGGTGAATTCCAGGAACCGAAAAATTCGACTCCAGAACGTCTGTCTCTCCGAAGCTTTTCGCGTACCTTTATTCTAGGTCCCGGTGCTCCAAGTGGTCCTACAATTAGAGTTGTTAGTGACATGCTTGTATTACGACCATGGGCGCCACTTGCCAAACCCTCTACTACTGTAGACACTCGAAATATCGACCAAAAGCTGGCCGTTTCAGATTCAGCTCTTCTGACCGGGGCCCTCTCTGCTGAAAAGCAACAGGAAATAGTGGCCCGACAGTTCATGGGGCATACCGGCATGACCATGCACTACAGCGTGCTCTGCCTTCAGCAAGCAGAATGGGATTTACAGAAAGCAGATGTGTTATTTAATCAAACTAAGGTAGGTTGACTTGATAACATGATGTTTTATCAAACTAACAATAATTAGGTAAATTTACCAGCTGATGCTTTTACCGCAGCATTAGAACAAAAAAGCTTATAAAATATAAAAACATTATGTAAAACACAGAGAAAATGCGAATTCATTGAATAAGCAACAGGTATTAAAGATAAAATAACTGCTCTCAATATTTGGAAGGGAATTTTAGGAAAAGTGCTCTATCAAACTTTCGCAAAGAAGCAAAGCCATTCTAGTGAAACCAAGCTGAGAGTGACCAAAAATAATAATTATCGGATCAACGACAGAGCGAGGCGTTTAGGCGTGGGAGAGAGGTTGGTTGTCGTATTATTTTCGATTAAAGGCGAATTTTCATTGGGCTTTCAATAGTATGAATAACAGAATCTTCTACTCTTACACAGTTGACAATCTAGACTCCATCGAGATAATTACAGTTCCCAAGAAATGATTGCATCAACTATCTGAGCTATTTTATGTTCATCCCAAGCATCCAATATAAGGTGAATGCTTGAGATTCTGTCCACCAGGCACGATGATATCATAATTTTCTTTTGAGGAACCTTTCAAGAGAATTTACTGGAGAAAATCAGTTTTTGTGACAATGAATAAGAACACATCCTAGATGTCACGTAATTGTATTTGGTTACAAAAAATTTTGCGTCATGCTAGTGCACAGCTATTGACTCAGGCGGTCGTGGGCCTGCCTAGTCCTAATCCAACTTCCCTGCGCTCTAGCGCGCCCCAAGGGTTCCAGAGTCTACAAAACAATTCCGCCTGAAATAAGAAATCTTGGTGTGAAAATCAGGGAAGCAGATTTTTGGGATGAAAGTGATATAGATCTGGAGAAGTAATCTTATTGTGCAAATGGTGGAAACTATCTCGAAAGGGTTCGGTTTCCATTTTTGGAAGATGTTTTTTAATTTGAAGAACGTTATGCGCTGCATGTCTTCGAATTTGGAAAAGTAGTCGACACTGCAAGTATAGACATGGCCGGGTAGTGCTGTAGTACATTGTCTAAACTGGTCTCCCCAGAAGAGTCTGGGAATGATGGACGTCCACCTCGCATTCTTGATCCTAAATTTGAAGTCCCACATGGATTAGAATGTGTGAAACGTGAAATAGGCTTGGCTTTGTGATGGTATGGGTTAAGGGGGTTTCGTGGCTCCAGATTACCTAAATGTTTGGTAGGGCTTAAGACTAGATGTAACTTAGTTTTCTGTTCATAGAGAGTATTGCCTTTTTAAATATATAAGGGGACGACTATCAGCACCTATCAGTGCTGTCCCCTATGAACCTCCAGCCCTTACTGTAGAGTCTGCAGAGCCGAGATTGAGTAACACCTTTTCAACTTTGAGCTGAGTTATATCCCCCTCCATCAAAGATACGCTTCCGATGGCAAATAAGACGATGAAAATGAGGATAATGATGCTAGGATTAAAGAAAGATAATGCGGCACCAAACGCTCAAAGGGTAATCAAAGACGCCCTCGTCACATCACAACATGCGCTACGCGCTGGCAGGCGAAAAAAGTACACGAAAGCCAAGTAAAAGACCATTCCGCCCTCAAGGAAAGCAGATTTTAATTCGCCAATAACATCGTCCCTTCTAATCCTCAATTCCGAATCTTCTAGCCAGGAAGACATCTGAAATACATGAGCTACTTGACAACCACGCGTCCGTACCGACTTTTGGATACTAGGCTAGGCTCCTCCACGACAGTCACTCTCGACCAAGACTTTTCTGACATCCTTTCACGATCTTCAGTTTATCTTGCGGCATGAATCAGGGAAAGATGAAGGAGGAGGCTAGGAAGGTTGAGAGACACTCTTAGGTATACACAGGTCTGCTGCGCCCGGCTGACCGGGCCCTGTCATAGGAGAGTCCCGCACCCAATGGTTTTTGAGACTTTTCCCCTGCATCTACATAGCCGCAAATGGCCATCGTTTCGTTGGCTGGAAAGAGGAGATAATGACGTGATAACGGCTCCTCTTAGTGTGTACTCGAATGAAGACCTGTGGGGGTATTACTGGTGAAAATATGTTATATGTGAAAGGATGGCAAAAGAATGAATAGCTGTTCGCACAAGTGTATCCAAAATGGGCTTAGATTGTGTCTAAAGAGTAAAACTATATATTCGTGATATCACACCCAAGATTTTGTCTCACTTATCGCTAACATAATCAACTCATAGGAGTCGGATAAACTCTGGATCCCATCTACGAGGCAATAGCTTGTAACATTATGAAAAAAGTGTAGGAAGGAGTACACTACCCGAAGCATAGATACTCCCGGCCTGTTGGCAGAAAGGACCTACATGTCCTTTCTTAGTCATAGAATCGTTAACACAATAAACATACTAACTACTTGGCATAGTAAAGCCACAAAAACCTAGGGCCCAGCTGCCTAGCGGTCAATAATCAGATTAATAAATTGGTATAGCTCGCTTAACAGGAAATACTGCCTAGTCAGCTTATTGATTAGGTAGAAGCTCCTCACCTCTGATTCTCAACTCACATCAAATCATACTTTGTCTGTATACTATATATTACCTTCCTTTTACTCTTACCCCGGGACCCTACTTCCTCAATATCCTAACATCGCTCACCATTACTCAATATCACGTGGATACAATTTAGAAATCTGAGCAAAAATTTGCACTACACTTACTATAGCTTTACTAGAGGTTGGGGTGCTGGTAATGGTTCAAGTCAAGTTACTCTGTGGAAAGATCTAGCTCCCGCTCAGCCATCAAACGAACAGTCACATTTTTCCAAATCTAGAACCCACGATATACTGGAAGTCAAGCCTGGTACTAGCCGATGTGGCATAGATAAAAATGAGATTCTTTAAGCTCTTCGCATGAGTTGGTAGAGCTGGCTTGTTCTTATCGAGAGCTGTAGTGGAAACCTGCAAGGTTATTACGTCGAGTTATTGCGACTAGTAGGTATGCAAAAGCTTACTATGCTATCTATAATATTTCTATAGTAGTTCTACTATGGTCTATGCTCCACTTTTTAACCTGCCTGGCGAGTTTTGAGACTATCATATCCTTAAAGAGTGCCCTATTTTAGTCTAGAAATGTCTTTTGTGTTGTTGGACTAGACGGCACATAAGTAGTTGTTGCCGCGCGGGCTGGTTCATTGCTGTGAATAGAAGGGCAAGACTGAACACCTGTACGCGGTATCCTCTACGAACCTGGGGGTGAAATATTCTTCCAGGGCCAACTCCATTCAAACTTTGCAAAACCGACCAAGTTGGCCCACGAAGCAATGATTCAAAATACTCCACCACGTCAATTTTTCACTCCCAAAGAGTCCGACTCATACCTAAGCCTCATCAAGTCTACAAGTACGACCAAGCACATCCTCATTCCAGTAATCACACTTCTCGTCGACTTTCTCTGGCCTCAGTTGACCACCAAATACACGCCCAAGGCGATATTTACACCAGGCGGAGGAAGCAAAGCATGGCGCACAAATTTGGGAGACAGTTCTTTGGGATGGACGTGAGAGAGGTCAGCACAAGTTCACAAGATGAATCAATGGAAGGATACAATCTCCACGGGCGTGTGATTTTGAATTTGGGCAAGAGTTTTACGAATTGAGCTTTGTGCGCGTCAAGACTTCGCTTGCGAGAGTGCAGCTGACTCTATAAAAACAAGCAAACGATGGAAGGTGTTGTGGTCCGCCACCTGTTGGTGTTCACCTGTTTAGTTTGAGTAGTCTAGGCACCTACTCCACTTGGGAAGGAGATGCCTAAGACCATATTTCGCGCGGAGAAAAGTTGAATGATGATGGAGGCATATCTGGATAACTCAGGGTTTTTGAAACGTTCCCCTGGGTGGGTATTCACGGATGAGGGTTGACTTGGGATGAAGACAGAGCTTCCGTAACTTCGCAGTGGTACCTGCAGACGAACTACGAGGCATGAGAGCTCTTCCTTTATATTGAAACATCAATTGTGCACTATTATTTAATACTGTGTCATAGCTAGATAGCCGCATACGCAATTAAAATCTTAAGCAAAAAAATTGCAGTGAATAACTACTAGACCTGCTGTTATGATCCTAGTCTGCGCAAGGAAGCAAGAACTTTATAGAAAAGACTCTATGATTATATTACATGACTTTATTGATGCAAGTTCATGTTGATGCATGGCTAAAATGTGAGTCGTGCTAATTATCAGGAGCGTAAGGATCAAAGAATGTCGATACGCATTACATGAGTACATCAGACAATCAATGGGCGTGACTGCAGAGCAAATCGGACATGTATGTGACCAGGTGCATTTACCCCTTGGAATACGATGCTTTCATCTTTAGATATCCATTTATCCTCAGATAGTCTAACTATATTTTCTCACCACCAAGATATTTATTCCACATTCTTCTTTATATATATTCTATCTTACTACAATACTTATTCATCTCACCTCGTAATTACAGCACCTGCACGCCAGAAAACTGTTACAGCTCCGAGCATAGTTTCTAGCAATGGTCATCCTTCTTACCATGTTACTGAGAACTTGTCAAAGTGAGTGATTTTTGTCCAGATTGGCGTGCACGGCGCAGCTAATATCCGTCGGAAAATCCCCCTTTTGGTTTTCCAGATAAATGGCAAGGTTGGAAGCTTCGTCAATCCGCTAATAGTACATCTTTAGTAACGATGGTATCAGCATCGTAGAATACAAGTTGCTTTCTGAAGCAAACTAAATATTGACTGATCTTAAGATGAAGGCATTATTTATGTAGAAGGATTAATAAAATACTGTCTTGTTTGACACCCGGCTTAAAAAGTTATTTTTCTGCTATATCTTGCAAGTAATGTCTTTTATTATGTGCTAGATCTACGCCATATACTTAATGAAAGCCAAGCCCAACCATACTCAAGAGCTGAAGAGAAGCCTGGAAATAACTTACAAAACAAATATCTATTTGTGATGGCGTCAATGCGAGGCATTTTATATAATATTCTGATAAAACGGATGTGACGCCATGCGCCTATATATACCCATCCTAGTCTCGTGACAGCCGTTACTCCCCTTTAATAAATTTTATTCCAGACTGGTATTATAAGCTAGGCCGGTGTCCCTTTGGACCTGCTAAAGATTCCTCTAGTACGACTTTTATTACGCTTGCCGGCTGATTTCGTTGTATCTTTTGAAGAGTTTGTATCACTTCTATCCCGTCCCTGGGAATTATCTTCTCCACCAGATTCTTCATTATATTTTGCCTTGTATATCCTAAATCTACATTAGAAGGGAACAAATTGAAGAAAAGTTACATACCAGGAGTTTCCAATCATATTAATTCCCTTTGCCTCGGCTTGTCTGTAGAATTTGGCACTCCTTTTTAAGTCCTTCTTACAACCGACCCCCTGGGCGTAGCAGAAACCTGCTTCTGCCATTGCGTCAGCATCACCCCAAGAACCGGCAATCTCGAAGCACCGAAGTGCTAGTGCTTTATCTTGTACGATTCCCCAGCCGTTCATATGGCTAACTCCAAGTTCATAAATGCTTAGAGCGAATTGTGCCTTTTTTGTTTTCAAATCCGATATGTCGACTACTTTTCCAGCCTGCATCAAGTTTTCGTCATCGGCGACTTCAAGCCCGACTTCATCTGCAGCTTTCCGGAGCCACGCTACTCCTTCACGTTGGTTTGGTCGCATTCCCCATCCGTGTCGACATGCCAATGCGTAAAGTAACATTCCTGTTGGATGATTCATTCGGGCAGCTAGCCGTAGATGGTACGTAGACTTGTTCAGCATGTCAGCTTTGTGATATCGGATAGCTTTCTCCACATGTTCCTGAGCGGTTGATTCGATCGAGGGGACTAGGATTTGGGATTTAGTTTGAATGCTTGAAGGAGAATTCGTTGGTAGTGTATAGGTCTGTGATAGAGCTGGTGATTTCTCTGCAAAGGTTATTTTCCTGCTAGGAGAAGTTTTGACTGCTTCTAAAGAAGGCCTACTTGAAGCACTTGAACTAGTAGACGGCCTGATTGCATCGAGAGACGGCGATGAGAGCCCACAAGATGGAGGACTCTCTGGCCTCAGAGAAGATGTCGACTTCCGAGTTGGTGGTGACGGAGTCGTGGGTCTATCGATATTTGTTACTTCAGAAGTAGTTTGTTCGCTTGATATACTATCAAAGACCACCGAATTTCTCTGCAGTGTTTTTCCCCTCGGCAGAGCAAATTTGGAGTACAAATACGTCGCTGATAGACAATTATCTGTGTTAGGATCTAGCAAGGCCTCATTACACGCACTTGTGGATTTAGTTCCGATGTCAGTCGACGGGACAGAGAATGATTGCGAGCTTTCTGAGGAAGCCTGCCTTAGTGAGAGCTCTAAAGACGGAGAAATCGTACTGGCACGACTTATAGGTCGGGAGAAATTTAGCGTTGGCGGCTTTGAAAGACGAGAGGAACAGAGACAAGAATCTGACCCATTAGGAGATACCCTCCCGGTCAAATTTAAACACGAAGACGTTAGACTAGCACTTGGTCTAGATAGAGTTGTGTGGCTTTCCAGTAATAAGGATTGTTTTTTCGAGGCAATGCAGTCATCGTCGGAGCTTTCGGTAGAATTTGAGCGATAACCTGACATTCGTTGCGCAAATAGTGACTGAGGGGGTGCCAAATCCTTTGAATTATGGGATTCTGCGCCAGATTTCTCTACTTGTGATGAATTGGCACATTGGTGGAGTTGTTCGACACTAGGTTGGTATCTCGCCTGAGAACTTGGACGTTGGACTAAAAGACATCCTGGAATGCTCATGGACGCCGGTTTTTTGTTCATAATATCAAAATAGCCTGCTTGATTCTTATTGCTAGATGATCCTTCGGTATTTACTTCGTTATCACTTGCTAGGATAGGTGGAGCAGTATCGCTGATTTCATCCTGATCACAGACTGCAGGATGTATAGAGGTAGGTCGAGGACTTTTACAATCTACATCTATCCTTTGCCCTGAAAGTGGCGGACTTGCAGGAGGTAATTCTACAGATCGGGAACCAAAATACTCAGGTTGCCCATTTTGGAGGGAGTTGGTAAACGTGAGGTGAGGCAGGCGACTCACACGGTTTCCGCTTTGGCTACTTTCTTCTAATTGTCGTGCCAGCTTTCGACTTTGTGCTGCGAATGCATCGAGTGGAGATAGCTCCGGCGTTATATCTCCTACAACATGTAGTCTAGGCGAGAAAAATCCCCGAGGAGAAGAGGACGTTCCTATCGCGTTTCCCGTATACTTTGATCGAACATCGATGAAGCTTGGCTTGTGGACTGTCATATTTTTGGTGGCAGTCATCGTTAAATTAAGCAATTCGACCAACTTAGGTAGCGATGAGCCCGCTTCGTCTGCCTAAAATCGATACTAAGAACAATTGATAACTATTACTCTTTTTAATTTCTCGTCAGTGCCATGCGACGAAATGTTGGGATAATGTAGATGATCGTTGAAAGACTGATAAGGAATTTAAGATTTGTGTTTGAATTGAGATAAGGAAAGACTGTATTGAAGATATGTAGATAATGAACGTGTTGCAAAATGAGCTGGTCGACTTGATTGATGCGGCAAAAGCGCGATGACAATTTTGTAGGATCGATTACCAACAATTGCCTGTGAAGAGAGTGAGAATGAAGAATGAGGGATATGACAATATGTGGAAGTGAACAGCCAAAAGCCGAAGAAGCCCCCTAACCTTTACCACCTAAGTGCCCCGTTTCAGGTGGACGATGTTGTTTCTGTTGCTAATTGTAGCCCTTGGAGTTCAAAGACTAGGATTCAGTTGCCCCCAAAGGAGGTGGGGGGACCCTCGTGTGTCATAAATTGGCACGACCGAGCGCAGTGCGCTGGTTTAACTTGCATAAATTAATGCGTAGTGGTGCTAGGCGATTCGCACACTTGAATCAGTATTACCTCAAGTGTATTATTTATTAGCTAGCAAGAGCGCCAGAAATATCTGGCTTTCCTCCCATTCTTAGAATAGGATTCATGTGAGTTTACTTGGAAAATTTTTTAGGGCTAGTCCCACCATTTTCTTGAATTGGAATATTAACTAAAGTCCAGCATCGATAAGTATTTATGCGCTTGAGACTACACATGCTGAAAGTTGCCTACCTTCGATATAAACTTGAAGTTACTAATCAAGAAGTAGCCTTGCTATGGCAATCCTTGAACATTTGGCCTTATAGCAATACAACGCGAGTCAGATTTATGAAAATAAAATTGGGTCTATTTCCAGCCTTCTAGAAGGCGATACTGCATTGAGTATTATGAAATTTCGTAACCAACCTGTAGCTAACATCTTGGGTAGTGTAAGACCATATCCTATGTCCATTGGCTTGATTGAATCAAGAAACTTTTCCGACTCTCCTAGAAATTAGGTAAAATTCGACACATGATATCCCTCTAAACTCCGGTTCACGCCAAGTCCTTTGTGATACGCCAGTTGCTTCAAAGACTCTTAGATTGTAGCTTCCTTAGCCGAGTGGCGCCTTCGTACACGCCACGGTCGATGGCAGCGGCCACAGTCAGTGTTCCTCCGACTATTGTGCAGAGACCAGTTAAAAATCCAGTAAAACTCTTACTTCTTTCCTCTCGATTAATTATTTTCATGGGCGATATATCCTATAAAGGTTAGCAAATCATCAAAGTCAAAATTTTAGGACACTTGCGTAAGAGAAAAAGACCCCAGGAATACCACCCCGGGCGTGAATTTTTTCCTTGTGGCCGGAAGCGGATTCATCTCCTCCGCCAAGACTCCGTCCGTGACTAGTTACAGAATATTGATGTGTCTCAACACTACCGTCACCTCGATGTCCATAGCCCCCAAGACTAACATTTTCATCGGATCCACCATAATTGTAGTTCAGCTTCTCCCATCCCAGAGGTAAATATGAGGTTGACACGACTTTTATGAAGTACATGAAGTTGTAGGCCGGCTCGGTTGCGACTTGCTCGGTGTGATCGAGAGGGTTGAGGTGATGATTAGTCCATGGCATCTCTTTGGGACCTAGCTTCTTTGTAACTGATTCAGGAAGCTGTGGTCCAAAACGAAGGGCATGAACGGTGTGTGTAAATACATGGCCACCCTTTAACGGAGTATCAAAATAATTGTTTAGGTCATGAACATGCATGTTCCCATTGCTGAAACTCCTACCAGGCGCTATATGGAAGTTTCCGATAACTTTGTTGACTCGTAGAGCTCCTTCTATGCGGCAGCCCTCATTTCTTTGCGCGTCGATCCTTTCAGCATAGTGTTCCCGCTCGCACTGTTCAACATTCTCACCACGACCAAAAGCCCAAGATGCACTGGCATAAGCTTCCCTCACCTCGTCACAGGTATTACAACAGCCACTTTTTTTGGCATTTGGTGGTGACTCGGCACCATAGCAGGGTCCACAGTAATTTGGATCGAGATGTGTTGCTTGTTCATCATTATGTCTAGTTGTAAGATTAGAACGTGCATTGGAGGTAATGAAAAGACTTACAAGTCCAAAGAGTTGATGTCAATTACATGACCACCGTCGTTTACTGATGAAAGTCTAACCTTGTTTACACCATGCATCACTCCTGTTTGTTGCTCTCCAGACACATCCATCACATCTAGTGTGAGTAGCTCGCAAGGAATTTTGGGAAATGTAATGTTGAGATGTATTTCCATTTTTTCACCTAGGTACTAAGTTTAGTAAATGTTATCTTTTAATTTACTGTAAATGTACCTCTTCCCTTGTCCACAATCAATTCTGGCCGAACTACAATGCGCCGGTAGACACTCCACTCTCCCCATGCTAGCCAAAGAACAGTTAGTAAGGAAACAATTGTCACGATTCCGCCAGAAGTTGTTCGTATTCTTGCTTCATCGACTGTCTTTGTGAAGGCGTCCAGCCTTGTAAATCTCGATTTCGCAGGCATCGTCAAGCTCGGTGTGGTCGATTTGAAATAGTTTTAGACTCTTGTTAGAGCTCAATGGTGTTGCCTTACGGCAATTTCAGATTCGACAGTTTCTAGAAATACATAGAAGATCATCAAACAGAACCACTAAAGTCAGACATTGGATAAATTAATGTTGCAAACGTTACGGCTTCAAATTGCGCGTAGGGGAGTAATAAGTAGATGAGCATTTAAAGGACAGTTCTTAGGTGGCTCGTGCACACTGTCGTTTTCACCCATCCACCGTCGATCCACATTCTGGTCGACAATGGTGTGTGTGTGTGTGTTTTATTGTACTACTTGAGTCTATGACTATCTAGCACATTGGGCTCCTCTCTGACCCAGGCCACACCTTGTACAGTGCTCCTATCCTCTTTTGTTACTTGAAAGATCATTGATATATTCCCCTTGATGAATAGCCATTCAGCTCAGTATTTACCCGTGGAATTCAGCCACCTTTTCCACGGAACCTTCTACCCAAAAAAAATAAAAATGGTAGCAATGGAAACTGCGTGCGCGGGAAAAAGTCTCAAAAAACCTGCAGCCCCAGCCAGGCGAGACCTAGACACCGGGACCACATGAGGTGCGCATATTCATCTATATCTCCCTTCTTTGTAACAGTCGAGGTCGACTTGATCCAATCCACCATCTCCGTATCGGGTGCTGGGTACGCTCCGGAAACTCATCGGATGGCTTTTCCTCCATGATCAAGGGTGGGTGACGAGTAGGGCTCCGACCCTACCATCTGATCTGATCGTGGTTAGCTTCATGATAGTGGTGATAGGGGAATGTGTTGAGAGATGAAGACGATACAGACCGCGAAAGCGATTGGGAATCATCTTCGAAGTGAGGACTTTGTTACTCAATCTCGGCTCTGCAGACTCTACAGTGGGAGCTGGAGGTTCGTAGGGGACACCACTGACAGGTGTTGAGAATAGTCCCCCTCTGGTCGACAATGCTACAGTGCGTCGACTACAAACTAATCTGGGAAACCTTTTTTTGCCAATTATGTCTTAACTATTTTTCCTTCCCTGAGTACTGGCCGAAATTTTTCGAGATAAATAAGTCTGTTTAGGTTCTTAGCGCACATTAAAAAAATTGTGGCAATTTATATCTTCCAAAATTTTAATTGTAACCCAGATTTTCTTTCACGGATGAAGCGCACTTGTTAGAACTCCTAACAACTTGAGCTCTAATTCACAGAGTATTACATGTTTGATACCCGATGGGGTGTTGAGTGCCATGAGCGTAGCTAAATTTAGCCTCGGGTACCTTACATGGCCAGTCATCAAGCTTTCATCCAGAAAAGTTGCACTGTGTTATCAGCAAAGAAATTTAAACACATTCTTCGTGAGGCGCATTGGGCTGGATGGTGCAGTGGTATAACGTTCAAGTCATCCGCGCATGAAGGTCTTGCTGTTTGGTCGCTCACTTCCTTGGATATAAAACAGAGCAGTTTCGCGTGCAGTGTCACAAATAGCTTGCATCCAGTAGGGGAGTGTCTGGGGTGTATTGCAATCCGACCTCTTGTTTAAGGTTTGTGTCCACGTAGGACATGTAGGTCTTCTCTGCCTACGGGCCAAGGAAACATATACCAGTAGAATATCCCTTCCTGTGCTTCCCATTCATCTCCCCTCAACCAGCAACAACCCCCACAAGTCCTCATTCGTTCGTACACTTAGAGGAGCCCTTTGCCCTTCATTATCTCCCCGCTCCAGCCAGCAAAACAATGGCCATTTGCGGGTGTGTGGCAGCCGGGAAAATTCGCAAAAACTACTGGGTGCGGGGTTCTCCTAATACCGACATTAGTAATAAATTTGAAGACAAAGTGACCCTTCTGAAGCGTTCGAAGAGGCCGGCCAGCTGGGCGCTGCAGACTTGTGGGTACCTCGGGAAATTCACCCTCTGCCTTTCTAGCCTCCTTCCAACTCCTTCCCGAAGGTCGTGCTGAAATATCAGAAAAGTCTTGACAGAGCGTGATTGCTGTATGGTAGCTTAGCCTAACTTCTTTTGTGCCGACCAGGGCGCTGGGGAGTGCCGTTGACTTATCGACAAAAGAAGCCCTGCTGGCTAATTAGCCATAATCTCGGTCATGGCGACCACAAACGTTCCAAAGTTAAAAACCACTCGAGAATATGGGCCCCAGCATGGTCTTCGGAGACCTGATCCCCCTCTCGCTCCACGTCTCAGCCGCCTATCCTTCCACAAGATGTGAAGCCCCATTAGAGCAACAGTCCCCCATAAGCCAGGACCCCAACTTTGTATTTTTCGACTTGATTTCCTCCTTGCGGGTATACGTAGCGTCGTAAATTTGTAGTGGGAAATGGCTGGAAATTAATGGGGCAAGCTCCTGTTTGCAATCGGGGTGACGCCTTTATCGGTCGTCGAGGTGAGATAATATGTGGTTAGAAAGAGGTTAAGGACTCAGATGGGAATGGTGAGTGTTGCGTGATTGAGAAGTCGTCAAATGAAGACATGCTTGAGGTTGCTCTCGACTTCGATTCGGATGCGATTCTTCTTGGCTATCCTAGGTATGCAGAGCATACTGAGTGATTACACCGTCACCACTGAAAGGCGACCAATTCATCTTTGCCGGCTTGAGCGACTTGATCTCGAAGCTGTTGCACCAATGCTGCCGCTACCTCGCGAGCTTTAGGTTGACTTCCCTCCAGAAGTACTCCTGCGCTTCTTTAGTCTATGTCTGTACAATGGATCCGATGCCGCTGAGCGTGGGGTGACTGGCTAAACCCTCTATCAGCATCACAGCTTGTTAGGCTGCATACACGTAATGAATTTAAAAAAACCCACCATCGCCAGCTCCTGCACCCTTGGCCCGCGAGCCCGTCTCCTTCCTTTTTTTATTATTAATATTTAACGTCGTGCTAGCTCATTATACAGCCGTAAGGTCTTATATTGGCAAGCCCAGTCCACAAAAACTACCCGGCGTTTCTCCCTTCTTATTGCCGAAGTTCCCCGTGTAACCAGGAGACCATCTCACGTGTACGTGGAATACTTCGAGGACCCCATGAATACTCAAAAAATCCTGTCGAGATGAGCAAGAGGCGCTGCCCCTATTGCCCCAGATGACCAGCGTGTTGTCAATGTACATGTTTACGCGTTCGTGACTGACGGAAGTGGGTAAACTGATGGAGTGTATGAGCCCCCGCCAAGATCCGATAACTTCCGCGTCGAACATGTGCGAAAGTGTGTTAATCGCTCCATTTCCTCAGGCAATTTGGTGACCTCCTTGATAGATCACATAGCCGTAGCCGACATGTTTGCCCTGATCTTCCATCTGTTCAGAACCGTCCGTGAAAACGGTAACTTCGTGTGCTGGTAGCGCCGCCAACCACTTTTTGAAGTCGTTTCAGGCCTCCGCTTTCGTTCTCCCACCGACTGGATCCATTGAGTAGCCACAGGAATAGTGTGAAGGCGCGAAGAATATCCTATTTTCACAGCCCAGGCGGCCAGGGTGGGGAGTTAGTACTAATCTACGCAGAGGATATAATTGTGATGGGCGATCAACCAAACAATATAGTAAAGGAATGGTGGCCAATTACTGTCTAATTTCTACATACATCTCGGAGCTGTCCACCGAGGGGAGGCTACTTAACGTGTCCCAACTCCCAATGCGCTAACCTCACTATCTGTTCTGCTACACCATATCCTTGATTTTCAGAGTGGGCTCGTCATAGCGAATCTGGGTCGTATCGGCCCATGACTCCATATGAGACTTGCTGCAACAATGTCTTGTTTCCATATTTGTTGTAACCCTGTATTTGTGTGGCCAAGTTGGACATCTCTTTAGATAGCAAGGCTAATGATGTAATAATGACAAGTGTCCGTGCGACGGTCACTAGGAGATAGGCGCAGCCTGTAACAATAATGGACAGTAGATGATGCAATAGATTAGCTTCCAATGAAAAATTATTCAGTCTTACTGTGTTATCGACTTTAAAATACTTCCGAAGTCTTTAAACCTTTATAGACAAGCGAGCTTATGCATGTTGGTATAAAAAGTAACCATTATTTAAAGACACAGAGCGGTAAGGACCATCGGCTCAATACTAATCATTATTAAAAATAGAAGCCACTACTTAGTTCGTAGAGGGAAGCTTATGGAATCATGAAGGATAAGAGAATGTTAATTCAACTACTCTTTTCAGCACAGGTACCAGACTCCTTTTAGAAGGACAAGACTGAACACCTGTACGCGGTATCCTCTACGAACCTGGGGGTGAAATATTCTTCCAGGGCCAACTCCATTCAAACTTTGCAAAACCGACCAAGTTGGCCCACGAAGCAATGATTCAAAATACTCCACCACGTCAATTTTTCACTCCCAAAGAGTCCGACTCATACCTAAGCCTCATCAAGTCTACAAGTACGACCAAGCACATCCTCATTCCAGTAATCACACTTCTCGTCGACTTTCTCTGGCCTCAGTTGACCACCAAATACACGCCCAAGGCGATATTTACACCAGGCGGAGGAAGCAAAGCATGGCGCACAAATTTGGGAGACAGTTCTTTGGGATGGACGTGAGAGAGGTCAGCACAAGTTCACAAGATGAATCAATGGAAGGATACAATCTCCACGGGCGTGTGATTTTGAATTTGGGCAAGAGTTTTACGAATTGAGCTTTGTGCGCGTCAAGACTTCGCTTGCGAGAGTGCAGCTGACTCTATAAAAACTGCCATGGTTGGATGGTGCGGTGGTATATCGTCTTGGCCGGTCTGCCAAGTAGAGTCTGGATAGCTTGGACACATATCCCACTCAAGACAGTAGATCGCTGGTTCAAATCCATCAAAACACAACCTCATTTCTCGCGGCGCTGGTATGCATGGATGACGAAGGCATGCTTGGATAATCAAAGGTTTTGAAATTCCCTTTGGTGGGCACTTACGGAGGAGGGTCGACTGTTTGTGTAAGCAAGCATACCTCATAGTGGTATTTGCAAATTAAATCCAGAGTATGAGTAT